ACTTCCACGGCCAAATAAACGCACTTGAATGAAATGATTTCTGAAGTTTGCTTTGCAAAATGATATTATTTCACAGTTGTATTGGACTAAGTTTTGTTGTTTTTTTGTCTCACTAGAGGTCGTGATTGAAAGCTACAATTCTATCACTTGGGTGTGTTTTATTAGTGCAAATCTACATAATGGACTGTCTGCTAGCGTTGCAAGTCCATAAACTTACAGTTAACTCAACGGTGGACTAGCTTTGATTGGACTAACTTTAGTATTTGGTGATCTCACCAGAGGTCGCCAGTAAAAGCTACAGTTCTGTTAGGTGAGTGGATGTTTACTTGGTGCAAAGCTATATAATGGACTATCTACACTCTGTCCATCGCCGGTAATCGAACCCAAAAATTTAGCGTTGACTCCTTGATGTTAATGATGGTTGTACGTTTCAATTTTAAAGAATATTTCGCCATGGACAATGTGTTGTTAAGTAATCTCTAACTGAATCTTTATGGTCCAGTTTCTGAACAGAACCCTAGCTTGCGACAATATAATAGCCATATTAATAATTTCTGCTGTCTTTTTTCTATATACTTTAATAATATAAGCCATCAAGAAAATTAACGTCAAACGTCACGCACACAGCACAACATTTTGTTTCACTCAATTAAAATAGCTGACTGCCACTTCTCTTATTAATCCTTCATTCCTGCCACTAGGGGGTGGGTAGTCACGTGATTAGGTCTCCTTAATTTTCTAGATACTCTCTAACTGATGTTCGAAGGTCAGTTGCTCTCCACACGCTACTCACTTTAAATCAAATTTTGCTCAGTGTCCGTGGTACTGAACCTTAATCTTATTATAAATGTAATTCATTAATCTTTCTTAACTTTATTTTCGACCTCACTCTATAAAAACTTAACGTCACCCTCTGATTATTGATCTTAATGCCCATAAGATGCAAACGTAATTTAACGTTACTCGAGCGCAACATATACATACAAAATCCGCCGATAGATGGCGGGAGTGAATATGTTATCCAATTCAGTGCTCACAACTTCCAAGCGTTATTTAGCCGTTACTTCTTACTCCAACACACACACAGACACATCATAGTGGCCAAAAGTAGAATAAATATGTAATTTAGTTTAAATAAATTATTATCTATAATATCCTACATCTTCGGTAGTTCAGGGAAAGTCTGAGAGCTTATAACGATAAAAGTCAGATTTCAATATCCGAGGTGGGCAGAGCACCTTCTGTATCTTTGTACTTAACAAAATATACAAGGTAACAACAAACTTGAAAGAGTGATTTTCTTGCATTATACTTATCTTAGTACACTGGGAAAATCTTAATAACTAGGCAGTTAAGCAATCGATGGAGTGGGTCGAATGTTAGAAATTTAAAATAGCTGATTTTCAAATAAGAGTTTTTCCTTGATAATGAATTTTTTTATAATCATCACCAAAAAGTTGAAACTTAACTTATAGAAGCTAAGTTATTGCATAGCCTAAGTATTATATCTTCGGAGATTACGTTTGTTTGTATTTAATTTCGCCTCAAAACTGCGTTAGCCGTTCCTAGGTTTGAAACGACAGACATCTCTTGAGCTACCCTGTATCAATGAATAGCTGGATTGACTGTCACATTATGACGCCCCGACAGCTGAAAGGACGAGCATGTTCGGAGACAGAATTCGAACCCGAGACTCTCAGATTACGAGTCGAGTGCCTAGGCCATAACAGGCTACTAAAATTTGCGTATTCTGTTTACATACGGGCTTCCTTCCATCTGTCACCTGCGATCTAACAGTGACCAACTCGTTTCACAAATATCAAAGGTATAATATCATAATTATACAAAGAAAAAATAACCTAATGTTTATTTCCAACAATAGTTTAAAATGATCATGAACTACAACATAAATATATTATGAATAACCTTATTTTAATAATGCAGGTCTACTAGGCCTAATAAAAGTATATTATCACACGTTACAGTATATTTAATAAACTGGGTACTTGCGAGGCCTACCAAAAGCTCATCCCCTCTATATTATACAAATAATAAAAGTCATGTGACCGTTCACGTGACGGTAGTAAGTCGCGTGATCGTAAAGTTGGTGATAATCACGTGATCGCGTAGATGGTGATACAAAGTCACGTGTAATAATAATTAAAACGGTTTTTTTTTTTTTCCATCTACAAATAACCAGAACTAGAAGCACTATTTTAACAACGTACACTTCGCTTAACATAGTTTGAAAGTTTAATAAGTAAACAATAGAATGAATAGGTGTTGACCACAGCCAAACGACGCTTTCACTTTTAGGATAATTAACTTACCTGTTGTGTTTAATCGCCTTATTATGGGAACTGTACAGGCTAATGTAAAAAAACAAAACAAATTATATTTTACATATAAAGATACTATTTTACATTTTCTTAGAAGACCACGCGTTTTTTGTAATGAACCGTGACAGAGGTCACTAACCATAGTGACTAACGGTAGACTCATAATAACATGAACAGGCTGATTAGGGTTAAAAATAAACTAGACTTTTGGTTGTAACCAATTTCAAAATCTACACGAACAGGTTGATTAAGGCTAAGATTTGTTTAAAATCAAACTTTATTCCTTTATTCGACGAGACTAAGACCAGGTTAAGTCAGCAAAGGAACTAATAGCTTGTGTTAGACTAACCCAACAGCGACGCTAACGTCCCCAAGTAGTGACTTTGAATTCAACGTCTCCAGTTCACGAGTTGCCGAAACTGTGGTAAACAAGGTCTAGGAATATAATTCTAAGAGCCCATGAGTAAAAGCAAATGAGAATAATTTATAACAATCACATTACATCTGCCATATCTAGTGCCGACGAGGCCTTTGGCTCAATAAGCCGGCTGGAATACGACAGACATTATAGTGGATTAGGCGCTATATATAAATATAATGTCATCCGTTTTCATGAACAATGACAGTTATGGTGTGAACCAGACTAAACAAACGAATTTCTATAATTCTCAATTTTTATTTCAGTTATTTACCTGAAAGATTTTTATTAAGAATTATTAACAAAATATTATTTATTTCATAATTTCGTTTTTTAAGTATAGTGTATTAGTTTTGGAGTTTCGAGATGCTATTTGGATAAAGTGTTCTACTTTTAAATTTAAAAGCTTTTATTTGAATAAAGTTTTTTATTCTAGGTTTTAAAAATGTTATTTGTATACAGTGTTTTAGGGTTTAAATATGTTTTTCTAATGCAGTGTTTTATTTCTAGGTTTAAAGGATTATATTTAGATGAAAGTGTTCTATACTGTAGTTGTTTTTCCTAACACGTATCTACAAAATTAAAAGTGTCGTTACAATTAGAATCAGTTCCACTTCCATGCACGTATATAGCTCCTAAATTAGCACATCGCGCAGCGAATTAGCATATTGAATATAAATGTTTCGGAATAAATTTTCTGCTCTGTCTAGTCTAGTACTCCAACTAGTAAAGATCGTTATTTTAACATTGAGATTAACCTAACTTTAGTTGTCGCTGTTTCTCGCCAGGGTCCGTCACTGGATGTTTCAATACTGTCGCTTAAAGACCCGCGTGCTATCAATTCAATGTTGTGGTATTAAATAAAATATTATAATAAGATACTACTATTCAGATTTATTATTTTATTTCGCAACATTGTAGGAGTGTCTTTCATCAAATTTTTGTTATTCAACTAGAGTGTTTTAAAGAGAAAAACATAAATATTTGGGGGTTCTTAACAATAATTGTTTGTTTGTTTTGAATTTCGCGCAAAGCTACACGAGGGCTATCTGCGCTAGCCGTCCTTAATTTAGCAGTGTAAGACTAGAGGGAAGGCAGTTAGTCATCACCACCCACCGCCAACTCTTGAGCTACTCTTCTTCCAACGAATAGTGGGATTTACCGTCACATTATAACGCCCCCACTGCTGAAAGGGTGAGTATGTTCGGTGACGAGGATTCGAACCAGCGACCCGCAGATTGCGACTCCAGCGCCCCCTAATCACCAGGCCACATTAGGTTTTTCTAACCTCATATTATTATTTCTTCTTACTTCTTATAGACTTCTGCATTTCATATTTTTGTATAAAGGTTTATTCATTGTATCGATCTGTTGATTGATCTTCTATTGACTCGATTATCGAAATATGTATTACTTTATATTTTAATCTATGTTTTTCTTTAAATCAAGTTTATCAAGGTTATTTGTTTGTCTGTCTGTTTGTTGGTAAGCACAAAGCTACACAATGGGCTACTTTTGCCGTGCTTACCACGAGTTTGGAACCTGATTTTTAGCGTTATATGTAAGGTACGTAGAGGACTCTAGCGGCAACTAGTGGGACTAACTGTATACAGAAGACATTTTTGGTTATTAACTCATATGTTATTAGGAAGCCTGTAACCATCAAAGTCACTAATTTCCAGTCATTTGGTGCATAAATTGTTTAAAAAAATACTTAGGCCTAACAAGGCCTAATGGTTAGGGCACTCGACTCGTAATCTGTGGGTCGCAGGTTTGAATTTCATCACCCAACATGCTCACTCTTTAAGCCGTAGGAGCGTTATAGTATGTCAGTCAATCCCACTTCCTTTCCTCTGTTACATCACTTCTAAATTAAGGACTGCTGGCGCAGATAGCCCTCGTGTGGTTTTGCGCGAAATTCGTAAACAACGAAAAAATACTAAAGGTGAGGTTGTGACGATAGGACATCAATCGTTGTCATGACAACGAGTTTAGAAACATCTATTTTAAAAAATCGTTAATCCTCCTGCGTGAGATAGATAGATAGTTTGAGTGTGGATATAGGACAACGTAGAAGTTCTTCAGGCTTTATTGTACCGTTAAGACATGTTGTTGTTGTTTTTGTTTTTTTTATCAGCACTTTTAAGCTTTGCAAGTTAAAGTAACACGTGGTTTATAAAAGGATATAGGTTTTTCTCAAGGAAGTCATTTCACGCGCCACCAGATTTCACGGCTGGAAAGCCCAGAGTTGAAAACTTTTGTTAACGGTCCCTTCCTCGTGTCACGTGGCTCTCGACACTCTCGTAAATAAAACTGTGCCAAATCACAAATAAACACGGAGAATTTGAATTTTCAGAAATCCGAATGTTGGTCTAAGCTGTATACTGTACTGTAATGTAAAGAATTATTTAACAGAACAAGTAACTTCTGATCAGACATCAGTCAGCCAGAAGAGACTCCTACGTAAGCTTGTATAAACTAATTACTCTCGAGCGTAGTGTTCGATCTTTGGAGAAAATGGTACCGTTCGTCATCCTCTTCCTACAAGCTTCCCTACCTATTATATCAAGCCAACCAGGTTGTTGTTTTTATTTAGTTTACTTAGTTTCTGTATTTTCTTAACGACAACAGCTTTAAGTTGTAATGAAGGTGTTTTTTGTTCGTTCTCAGCCTCTTTTACTGCGAAATGGACGACAGCTTTTTAAATGACTTCAACTTTTAGTTTTGATAGAGGGTTTTTAAACCAAACGAAGAATACTGTTTCTTATGTCAGATAACAGACAGTTACCATGGTTTCATTAGACCACGAAATTCAAATAGTGTCATTGTTATTTAGTAAGGAAGTTAAACAGAATAACAACAATACTTCAATAAAATCAAATATTTGTTGCTTTCAATCTTAACGATCGTCAAGCCGTTCTTCTAAACAAATACACGCACACATTTCCTGTTCGTTTTGAATAATTCGTTTTTTTTTGTTGTTTTTTTTTAGAGAAAGCAGTGAACAAATTTTTTATATGAAGTTGTCCCAATTATCCTAGTAATGTTTAAAATATAAAAACACTCTCTATAATATTAAAATTATTTTGATTTAGGACGTTTAATTACGATATTTAAATCTTTATCACGCAGCTTATATCTTGTTTTTAACGTTGAGATACTTAAAGTCTTGAGTAAGTTTCATTTTCTATGGATTAGATAAACTTGAAACAAAACATAAATATCAGCATATATAATTAAGTTTTTAAAATTCATTTTTATTTGTATCATCATTATCTATCCTCTTTATTTCAACTTCAAATTAACTGAAATGACCAGTAAACAAATTGAAATTTATTTACAATTAAGAGCAATACAACGTTAAATCATGACAGAATAACACCATCTTTCGAAGTAACAGTAGCAGTAAGGTTGGGACTTATAAACCTACATAATTATTTGCATATTAAAACGCCATCTAGACTCAAACTATCCCTGTTTTTAATAATTATTTATTGTTTAACATTTTAACGTTGTATTGCTTTTAATTGTAAATAGATCTTTTACAAACAAGTTTCTATTTTTCATAAAAGGTTTATATTTATCCATTTATTTATCGCACAGTTATGCTTATCTTATTTCTATGATTATGACTGATATACATTTAAGTCTTACTGGCTTCTACGGTGTTACCTGTACCCAACGCCATCTGTCCCTGAAGAAAAGAACTACATGTATATATATTAACGCATGTGAATGGGTAATGCCTTCAACACAGTTACCTGTACCGAACCTTAGATTTTTAATAGGATCATGAGCGCCCGCAGGAAGGGGTAAGAGGGGTCATTTACCCCCTTACATTTCACAACAAGAATTGCACGGATTATGATGTAAATTTAACATCGTAGTTAAACTAAATATTTTAGTAATTATTATTAAAACTGTAAATTTGTGATTGTGATGTAACACATATTATTTTGGTCTGTTGACTTACACTGTAAAAGCCGATCCCCTACATAAATATCTTGCCCCCCCCCCGAAAATATTTCTGTGGACGAGCATGGATAGGATGCAAAATAAAATCATGAAAAGTATTAATGTCGTTTATTTGTCGTTATAATGTTCAATTTTTGATAATTTATTATGATATTGTTACGACAGCGGAAGTCACGTGACGAAGGCATAAACGAAGGTAACACCAAGATTTTGTCAGCTGGTATCCACGGTATCGCTAGCTGCACAAAGAAATTTAGGGGTGGGCAATAAATTAAAAAGCTGAAATTGATCTAAATTTTTAATAAAATTGTCATTAAAACAAATCAAATAAAATGTAATAGTGTTTATAGAAGTTGTATTTTATTGAATGATACAAAATAAGTTTATTATGTATAAAAGCTGAAGAATAATATGTGATCAATATGCCTAAATTTTTTTAGGGGAGCCGGCCCTCTTGGTTCCCCCCTTAGCTACACCTCTGGAAGTTAAGGCTAATTTTAACACACTATAGTTTAAATTGGTATACTTAATGATAACATGGTTTTAAGTATACAATATTTCGTTCAAAGATTGTATAACAAACAAATATATTCATGAAACAAATGAATTTTATACACGAAACGTCATAAACAGCTCCAAGTAGTTGCGTACATTTTCCCACACATTCTAGTATTAATTTTACTCGCAACAGTAAAGATCTACAACTTTATTTATACAGGGTTGAGTGGGTTTTAATAAATCGATTTTGATTATGCCCGTATAAAGTCATGGTGGAACGGAATGTATCAGAACTACATTTTGACATTGCCGTTTTTAGGGAGCGGTATGCAAAAGCCCTTTCTGACGCAAAATATTCATGCACTCAAATCATAAAGTTAGAATTCCTATGGTGGAGATAACCCTTGTATTTAATGGCACTAACAAACAACGGAATATGGATCAACTTGGGGTACAAGGACCGTCCCAAAAGAGACCTACAAGAAGTCATACTCCAGCTGTGGTAAGCAAAGTGCTGCTTCTTATAAATCTAATAACAGGGTGATAATCCACGAACTTCAGTTGTAAAAGCTGCCCACGTGCCCCAGACAACAGTACACACTATAACTAAGACAGATCTTCGTCTGGAAATTATGTTGATAGGGTATGAATTCACCAAGATAACACTTTCAGTCATACCTTCTGCTCAATCATCGCATACCTCAAGCAGTTGGAGAATGAAATTGATATTCATGCTATTCCATGTGAAAACATACCAGTCAAGTTGCCTGTGGATTTCTGTGTGATATAATGTTGAAATGGGCGCTGGAAAACCGTTTTCTTCGTACACTAGATGGATTGTGGGTAGTTAATAAGGAAGAAAGGTGTGCTTTGGACATGAAAGCCTTTTGCCATGAAACCCACACTGCAAGACTATTGTCAAAATGCACGGTTATCAGATAGAACATGACCACACATGGCGACATGAAGTGTAACGAATAATTTTAATATAACGTTTGTTTGTTTTGAATTTCGCGCAAAGCTACACGAGGGCTATCTACGCTAGCCGTCCCTAATTTAGCAGTGTAAGACTAGAGGGAAGGCAGCTAGTCATCACCACCCACCGCCAACTCTTGGGCTACTCTTTAACCAACGAATAGTGGGATTGACCGTCACATGATAACGCCCCCACTGCTGAAAGGGCGAGCATGTTTGGCGTGACGAGGATTCGAAACCGCGACCCTCATATTGCGAGTCGAGCGCCCTAACCATCTGGCCATGCCGGGCCTAATATAACGTACTCAGCTCTCCGATTTTTTATATGTAGAAAACTAGATAGGCAGATAATATTAAACACATTTAAGTGCAGTCCAAGGTTTGAGCCTCAAAGTATCGTTGAACATGATCTGCACTTTCAACTATGAACGCGTTATAAAAGTAAAAATCAATACCGCTGTTCAGTCCAGTGTAGCTTGTAAACGGCGTACACTGTTTAATACCCCCCCCCCCTTCTGGTAAACAGTTTTAAATTAGAGATTGCTATGTCTTGACTCATGTCTTCACCCAGGCAATTTAGGGTGTCTCTCGCATAAGGTGCCGTAAAGTTTAAAAATACATTTAAAATTGCAGAAAAAAACTTTAAAAATCTCCGAAATCTGTTATTGTCACTATTTTTCTGATCTACCACGATGTTTTATCCCCCTTTTAAAGACGTACTTGTTTTAGTTTTAGTTGTTTTAGATCAAAGCCACATTGGGCTATCTGCTCTGTTCATTTCGGGAGAATCGAACACCGGATCTTAGCGTTGTAAGTCTATAAACTTACCGCTGTCCCACCGGGGAACAGTGTCGTAATAATAATATTGACTACTTTAGAATAGATCGTAGCTGTTGATGTTTAGCTGCGGTATATAAACATCAGACTAAATATGGGTGTTTCCATTTTTTTTAACATCACCGCGAATTATAAAAATATATACGGAAAACTTTACAGTAAAAGAAATCAAAGTGACCTTCGCGGTATTATCCGTCATTATCAGTTCCGGCAACAACTTAAAGAAGAGGGAGGAAAAAAATCGGCTTACTTCCCACAACCCCTTATAATTTGACTTAGTGCACACGCCCTTCTTAAGAAATGTTTACACGTGAATTACTAGATTGTTTGAACTTGGGAAAACCAATGTTAAGGTGATGTAATGTATAAATAGGAATAGCACACAGTTGATGTAACAATTCAACGTTTTAAAACATTACGTCATATTTAACTTTGAATCAACAATACTTGAACTGGCTTTTGTGTGTGTGTGTGTGTGTGTGTTCGACGTAACCGTGGATTTACGAAGATGGGCAGGTGGGTTGAATGAGAAGAATGACGGGCGGACACAGACTTCTACCAGTCAACTGTAGAGTAGATAGCTAACTCTAATATGATGCAAGGGCAGTTCCGGGTACGGGGGGTTGGAAGGGGTTGATTCCCTTTTCCAGATAATATCAGAGTTTCAAAGTACGAATAAAAAACCTGGAAGACCCAACGTCGAATCAAACGAGGGGCGTGACACTACAATAGATATATATATAGTTCTTAACGGACTTCGTCAATTCGTTAATACACAGACGTGTTCTAAACTCTAACAAGTGTCACATGTTTTTTTTATGACAAAATTTTCCAGGAAGCCACACCCGGACGTGCTTTGTTAACTCTTCCCTTTTAAGATATCGTATATTTACACCAATGTAAGTCGTATCCAAGCACGAGCGTCCACAGAAATTGTTTTTTTCGGTGGGGTGGGGCAATTTTTAGGGGGGGGGGGAGTAGTGCGAAATTGTGAAGTGAATAAAAAGTTCATATACATATGCTGAATGGATAAAGACAGAATTATGTATATAAACTGTATCCTAGATATGTTAACGGTTTCTTTCCGGTGTTATATAAACTGTATCCTAGATATGTTAATGGTTTCCTTCCGGTGTTATATAAACTGTATCCTAGATATGTTAACGGTTTCCTTCCGGTCTTATATAAACTGTATCCTAGATATGTTAACGGTTTCCTTCCGGTGTTATATAAACTGTATCCTAGATATGTTAATGGTTTCCTTCCGGTGTTATATAAACTGTATCCTAGATA